GGACGAGGACGAGGACGAGGACGACGAAGATGAAGAGGGCGACCTTGCGGCATCCGCATCCACCAAGTCGGCAGGCTTCCTCTCGCGCATCGGATCAGCCTCGTCATCGGGAGCATCCTTCTTCTCGCGTCTGACGGGCGCCAAGACACTCACCAAAGAGGATCTCGCGCCCGCGCTCTCTGCCATGGCCTCGCATCTCCAGAGCAAAAATGTTGCCGCCGATGTCGCCCAGCGCCTCTGCGACAGCGTGGAGCGCAACCTCGTCGGAAAGAACCTCGGCAGCTTCGGCTCAGTCAAGGCCGAGGTGAAGAAGGCGCTCGAAGAGGCCATCACTCGCATCCTCACGCCCAAGTCAAGCACGGACATCCTGCTCGAGATTGCGACAAAGCGACAACGATCGGCGGCCGCCTCTTCGCTCGCCCTCGCCACTAGTGCCAAGGACAAGGAGCTGGCCAGCAAGCCCGACCCGTACTCGATCTGCTTTGTCGGCGTCAATGGCGTGGGCAAGTCCACCAACCTCGCCAAGGTATGCTTCTGGCTTCTGCAGAATCGCATGCGCGTGCTCATCGCTGCCTGCGACACCTTCCGAGCCGGTGCGGTGGAGCAGCTGCGTGTGCACGTGCGCAATCTCGGCCAGCTGCGCGTCGATGGCATCGCCCTCGAGGAGCAAAAGGGTCGCATTGAGCTGTACGAGCGCGGCTACGGCAAGGATGCCGCCGGTATCGCCAAGGATGCGCTCTCGTACGCAAAGGCAGAAGGTTTCGACGTCGTGCTCATCGACACGGCTGGACGTATGCAGGACAACGAACCGCTCATGCGAGCGCTCGCCAAGCTCGTCGCCGTCAACCGTCCCGACAAGATCATCTTTGTCGGCGAGGCGCTTGTCGGAAACGAGGCCGTGGACCAGATCACCAAGTTCGACGGTGCCATGAAGGACTTTAGTGGAGTCAGCAACCCTCGCGGCTTGGACGGAAGTCTGCTGACCAAGTGGGACACGGTCGACGATAAGGTCGGCACCGCCCTCACCACCACCTCGGCCACCGGTCTGCCCATCTACTTTTTGGGTACCGGTCAGACCTATACCGACCTTCGCCAGCTCCGAGTTCACCACGTCGTCAATGCTCTGCTCAAGAATTGAAGCGCTCTTTGGAGGTTATTCAGCAACATGCCCCTGTATCAATAGTCGCGCTTTCACGCTTGTTGCTTCCTTGCCTGCTGTGTGTTCTTGCGCTCCCGACTGTGGGTGCGTGCAACATTGATCTTGCTGCCTTGTATGTGCGGTAAATGATGTCGTGAGTGGGAGCATTGCATCTTCCTCTCGCCTTTTCTGTCGCTCGTCGACAATTTTCCTGTCGATCGTCGGCCCACTCATCTCACTGAGCGGTAGCCGTTTTACAGGTGCTGTGGGTTGACATCGACAATGGATTGTGGTGGGGCGCCTTCCCCTTTCATTTGGGTGAAGCTTCGTTTGGGTATCAATCTTTGCTCCCTGCCTAGATACCATCCTTACAGATGATCGCGGGTGCATACCTATAAAAAGGCGGCACTCGACCACTTACTTCTCCCTCACACTACACAAACCGACCCATCTCTTCGCAGCATGTACTCTCTCAAGTCTCTCCTCGTCCTGCTCGTCGCGAGCCTCTCCGTGGCCATTGCCGCCGCCAAAGGCAGCTCCGGAAGCAGAGGAAGCAGCTTCGGTAAAGGCAGCTCGGGCAGCAGCTTCGGCGAGGCTTTCTGGTCCGGCGCTTACTCTTGGGATACCTATCATTGGCCCAAGACTCCCGGCTCCAAGTCGCAGTTCGTCGCCGATAATGCTGCCAAGATGTGGAAGAACCGACCTGTGCAGGCGCAGGCGGCTATCTGCTTCAACGGCTCGTGGAGGGTCAAGAATCCGGACCAGGTCAGCCCAGCCATGACGGTCACCTACTTTGTCAAGAAGAACTTGGGCTTCACCAAAAAAGCCCTCATGTAAGTTTCTGTTTTAGCAGTTCGGATCTGGGTATGGGTACTGACGGGGTTAGGGTTATTTCTGACGCATGGGGGGGTGTAGGTACGACTGTCTCTACATTTGGGGTCCCAACCAGTCGTGGTGGAGCTGGGATGACGCCGACGACGACAAGATGGCTCACGTCATCGACGAATCCAAGTGCACCTACAACAGTACCACCTGGGACATCGACTGCATCTGATGGCCAAAACGTTCGCCAGATTCCAGGCAAGGGCTGCAAAAGCTACACACTGGCTCTTGCTTTCCTTGATCGCACCAAGATCATTCTCTCAATTCATGACCATGCATCACATTTCGCGCCAGGTCGAGCTCGTAGCTGCATCGCATCCATGTTCTTAGTCTCACTCAATCCATTCCTTACTCTTCAAAGCGGTCATACCGTATGATTTTGGCGAGCAAGACTGCCTTGAAGACTTCCGCTAAATGTCAGGTGCTTCCTGTCCAAGCCCAATACGATACGGTATATCGTATATCGTGTACTCCTTTGCTCACGATTGAGTCATGCAGTCTGATGCGTTCAATCGAAGGTCCGAGGCAGATGAATGAACCTCATTACGGTCGTTGCTTGCCTTGCTGTGCTACCATGCACGGACAATAGCGACCTCGCTTTGCTCATGTATCTCAACGTCCGACATTCAACGCCATGAGGATATCGAAGCACGGGGAGGACTTGGCACTTCCGCCAAGTACTCATTCGGCAATGACGCAGAGTCGACGTCGCAAAGTGGTATGAGCTTCATGCCTTCGATCAAGTGAAGTGCTGCTTTTGTGTGCCCTGACGAACACATGGAGGCTTACGAGATCTAGCGGGCCATCACGTGGAACAGCGGTGCTGGTTCCTCTGACAAGCATAAAAGCATGCTCCTTGCGCCATTATCCCCCTCAAACCAATTCACAACATTCAAACACCCGTCAGCCTGAGCAGGTCGTCGCTGAGATGCCGAAGCTTTTTCTCCTGCTCAGATGCGCGTTCGTCGTCATGGCGACGGTCATTGTCCAGCTGCCTGGCGGAAGAGGCGCTCCGATGTCACCGATTAGACCTGTCGAGCAGGCCGCCACCGACGCTGGCGAGTCCGTCGACGCGCTTCTCGAGGCGTTCTTTGCCTCTCACCAGCCCTCAGCTTGGCCGAGCGACTCGCATCTGGGCTCTCCGGCTCAGTCAGGGTGGTACTCCTCGCATCCCGGCTACATATCGATTGGTGAATTGCCTGGTCCTCGTCATCTGATTCCACCGACCTACCCTGCATCTCTTCACATCCATCCTCCGGAGCCAGCACTGCACCAACCCTCTCCTTCGCATCATTACGCGACAGATCGATCGCAGCAAGTTCTTCCCGTACCTCCATCCGACATAGGGCGTTCATCTGCTCAAGTCTCCCCTCCGCCTCTACCGGTCACTCCCGAGATCGAGAACCCGATGACCTTGGGTGGAAACTTGGCTAACAACTTGGCTGGAAGCTTCTTTGCCGCAAATCCGCGAATGCAGAGCGGAAATGCGATCCGCACGGTTGTTCAGCCGCAATTTGTGCTCGACCTGCTCATCACCGAGCTGTTCGCCGGCGCCAAAGGAACGTGGGCGCACCTGCCCGTCCTGCTGAAGCCAGAGTACATGACCAACCCTGACCTGATCAGTATGGAGGCCCTGGGCTATCGAATTCAGGCCAAGGAGCTTCGACTGCAGGATGCGCAGCGCGAGAGGAAGCTTCTCTTCACCTTTTCTGTGAAGCCGGATTTTGTTGCACCACCGCATCCTCTGCCCCACACGCCTGGCCTTGGTGCCGAGCAGTCGTACGTCGGTGTGTGGGAGCTGCTGCCGACCACGGACGCTCGTTCATCCAAACTATTCTTGCGCGGGTACTTTGACTACACGGCGCAGGAATTCAATGACCTCGACGAGCATCCTCAGTCGACGGGACTGCAATATTGGCTTTCAGTGAAGCAGGCCACATCGCAGCATTCCAGCCAGCCTGTTCTGAAGGTCAACCTCGAGAGACTGGACGTGCTTTCGTCTCAGGCGCTGCTTCCGATTCAACCCCAAGATGCCCATACTCCAGTCGTTGATTTTGGTGCACGCCTGAACCTTGGCAGATCCTTCGACGGTCGACCAACGTCTCTGTACCAGGAGATTCCGGAGACTGCCTCCATCATTAACGACTTGAAGCTTATTGCCCGCTTGGATGCTCGAGCGTTTGGTCAGGTCCAGATGACCGATGTTCAGAGAAGGCAGGTCACCGCGGTCATTTCGTACAAGTTCCGCCTGCCGGTGCCCGTCAAGGTTCTTCGCCAGAGGGGTGACGAGTTCACGATGTTCATCTTCCACCCGGAACTCAATTGGGTCACCAACCATGTCGCCGACGTAGTCTCGATGTGGAAGATCACAGCGGGCCAAGGGAGGATGCGTGACCTGTTCAACACTGGGTTCTATCACCTCACTCCCGAGATGTGGGATCAGCTCACCGAGGAGGCAGTTCCCGGCCTGCACGACGCAAAATTCCGGTGGAGTATCGCGAGCAAGGACACCAACAAAAGGTCGCGAATCAGGTATACGATCCCGCCGAACGTCTAGACGGGTCGACCGTACAACGAGGAGCTCGCGTCCTCGCCCAGATCACAACAAAGTTCCAATCGTCATTTGCTTCCTGCACCTGCCTGGTAGGCACGCGAGCATCTTTCTGTCGTTCGTAGTGATCAACAGCGAACGACACTCATCTTTCAATTCAGTGTTTGATTTTCTGAAGTGACTGTGCAGCGATTGGTGGACAAGGAAGCTCAAGCGATGCTTCGAGCAGCATTGTTGGGTGCCGGCGTGTTGATAAGGCGAACATCGTTGGTTTCTGCCCAGGCGACGATGTCACTGATGGTGGACTGTGCCTGGCTTGCCAAAGGGCCTTCGAATGATACAAGCACCGTGATGTGACGGTCTTGCATGATCGTGTTGACCAAAGTGACCAGGCTCCTCGCCAGAGTCAAGTGAGCTGTGCTGATGAATGGCCTCGAAGGATCGGGGACATCCGGCATGCAGAAGATGGTGACTTCCATTTTTTTGCTCTTCGCATCTCTACCTCCGCCCGCGAGTTCGCCCGCCAGATGTGCCGCCATTGAACCGTGGACGTCGTCAGCAAGGTCGTCGTTCGGACTGGTACTGATATCGATCGTGATCTTGCGCAGCTTGGGCATGTGCAGGTTCGACTTGGCAAAGATGGAGCGCCTTGCACGAAACAGCACTGCGTCCTTGGCACGGAAGGCAAAGTGACGCAAGCGTCCCTGATGGCTCGACAGCATGCACTTGAGGATCACCTCGTTGAGCATGTCCAGCCTTCCCACCTTGATCTCTTTGATTTGACACTGTGCCAGGCGGCCGAGTTCAGGACACTTTTGCACTGCAGGCACCGACGGTGTGGGGACGATATCCGTGAGGACATTGTCGAGCTTGACTTTGTGGATCAGCGGTGCTTGTTCGAAGAGCAGACGCAGACGTTCACCGACCTTTCCCCAGGAGGCGACCGTGGGGCGAATGTTGAGCCAGCGCCTCTTCCAGTATGCCCTTCGAAGGTCTTGATCCCACTGCTTGCAGACGAGGCGAGTCTCGACCGATACATCCGCGCCAAACCGCCTGGTCGATCGAACCAGGCTGAGCAACACGGCATGCTCGAGCTCCCTAGGAATCCTTGCGTTCGTCGACTGAGAGATCAGGGTGAGGATCCTGCTCGAGGCTCGCTGGTAGAGGTTGTGCAGCTTGAGGACCACTGAGAACGGCGGGTTCTCCCAGCGCCAGCCCATATGGACCTCGGGCCTATTGTGGCGCAGCCAGCTCGGGAGCCATCGCGGTAGCACGTTTCTGCCAATGATACCGTTGGCCTCTAGACCTCGAGGTACGCTTGGAGGGGGAGCAGCTCTGGCAATGTGGGCATTATGCACTACTGTGCGTGCTGAGAAGCTCAGTGACTGAAGCACGTCCAGCGGACCGTTTCGTTCGTAGGAGGGGAACTGCGGATGGAACACCTGGGAGCGCTGAACTTGGCCCGAGCTGTTGGCGACCTTGGAGATAGCCCAGAAACAGGGCGCCCAGCGGAGTAGGCGAGAAATGGCACTCATGATGCTCGGTGCCCGAGCAGGGATGGCAATGCGGAGTGGTGGTGGCGGCGGTTGGTGGACACAGACCAGGCTCAAGCTCTGCTCTTATATTGGAGACTAATCTGCTCAGAAAGATGACGTGGGGAAAGAAGCACCGATCAAGAATCTCATCACGAGCTTCCATTGTCTGGGTACAGCGGAAGCGAGAGGTGCAGATCGTCAGTGTCCGAGCTTGTGGGCTGAACGCTTGGACCCCTCGTGCGGCGCGCTGCGTGTCTATGCGTCCGGGCGCCTTCTCATCTGCCTTGCTGTTCCAATGTTGTCATGAGACGCCGAGTCTGGTGTCAAAGAGCTCATCAAAGTGCAAGTCTGCCACCGGGCAAGGATGAAAGATCTGCCTGTCCTGTCGCGAGGGCGAGCTCAGAGATTCTGGATCCATCTGCACTGCGGTGGTCGGCGCAAACGGACAGCGAGGTCGAAATTTCGAGTTGTTAGACCGCCATCAGACCAACCCGGATGAAATCGCGCTCCAATCGCGATGGGGACGAAGCGGGTGTGCCCGATTGCAAGGACAAAAAATTTGAAAAGGCGTGATTGCGACAGTCGTGCATGAAGGGCTGGACGTGCATGCAGCTCTTGCTGAGTCTTCTCGAGTCACTCTGGGCTCACTGAAACGGTTGCAGAAATGCTCCGTTGTCGAGCCGGTGTAGCGACCATTGCTCCAGGTTGGCGTCTTTCAGAGTTCATTGCACCCACAACCGAGGCTGCTGTGATCGATGCCACTTTGTGGGACTGTGTTGCAGTGAAAGCGGTGGCAGCGATGGCAGAGGGTGGGAACCAAAGTCTGGGCGCAGCAAGCCAAGGGCACGAGGCTGCCGAGTCGGTGCGATTCCTTTCCGAGTTGAGATGGGCGGGCGAGCAGCGGAAAGTGCAGGCGGAAGTGCAGCAGCAGTCGGAAATTTAGACGAGGATTTTGGAAGATGCTGCACGTCTTTGCCAGAGAAGAGTCACCCAGCGGACCGAGATCACGGCGATAGCAGATCTGCTTTGCGAAGGCTCGAGCGCAGCAGCCGGTTGTCCGCTGAGCAAAGAGCCTCACGACCGAGAGCCTAACTAATGTGTCCAAGTGGACGGTCGGCAACCGCACACATCCTCGCCACGAACCACCATCAGTCTCGACCCCGTCCGAAACGTCGTGGTCACACTTGCAAACACATCGACGACACACAATGTCTGAAACACATGGACAGGCCTTCCACCGCGCCGGCTTCTCGCCACCGGGCAACGCGGGCTCGTTCGCTGCCATGATGGCTGCGCAGGCTGGTGCACAGGTGTTGGCCAACGGCAGCGCCATCCACCCGTCGTCTTCGCCGCCCACGTCGTTCTCGCCACCTCGCGCACGTGCGCAGTCGCAGTCGGTGCCGCTGTCGGCGCCGCGTCTGCTGACGCCGTTCGACACGGGCGACATCAAGATCCTGCTGCTGGAGAACGTGTCGCAGGGCGCGGTCAAGATGCTCAAGGAGCAGGGCTACCAGGTGGACTTCCACACCAAGGCGTGGAGCGAGGAGGAGCTCATCCAGAACATCGGCCAGTACCACGCCATCGGCATCCGCAGCAAGACCAAGCTGACGTCCAAGGTGTTCCGTGCGGCGCACAAGCTGCTCGTCGTCGGCTGCTTCTGCATCGGCACCAACCAGGTGGACCTCGAGTCGGCGGCCAAGGCGGGTGTGGCGGTGTTCAACTCGCCCTTTGCCAACTCGCGCTCGGTGGCTGAGCTGGTGATCGGCGAGATGATCGGCCTGTCGCGTCAGCTGGGCGACCGCGCCAACGAGATGCGCCAGGGCACGTGGAACAAGGTGTCCAAGGGGTGCTACGAGGTGCGCGGCAAGATCCTCGGCATCGTCGGCTACGGCCACATTGGATCGCAGCTGTCGGTGCTGGCCGAGGCGATGGGCATGCACGTCATCTACTACGACGTTGTGCCGCTCATGCCACTCGGCTCGGCCAAGCAGGTGCCTACGCTCAACGAGCTGCTGGGCACGGCGGACTTTGTGTCGCTGCACGTGCCCGAGCTGGCCGAGACCAAGAACATGATCCGCGCCGAGCAGATCAAGGCGATGAAGAAGGGCGCGTACCTGATCAACAACGCGCGTGGCACCGTGGTGGACATTCCGGCGCTCGTCGAAGGGCTCAAGTCGGGCCACCTGGCGGGTGCGGCGGTGGACGTGTTCCCCAAGGAGCCTGCAGCGTCGGGACCGGGCACGTTCTCGGACGAGCTCAACAGCTGGGCGTCGGAGCTGTGCAAGCTGCCCAACGTGATGCTCACGCCGCACATTGGCGGCAGCACGGAGGAGGCGCAGCGCATGATCGGCATCGAGGTGTCGGATGCGCTGATCCGCTACATGAACTTTGGCGGTTCGGTGGGTGCGGTCAACTTCCCCGAGGTGGACCTGCGTGCGATCACCGAGGCGGACTCGCGAGTCATCCGCATCTGCTACGTGCATCAGAACCAGCCCGGTTCGCTGCGCGCGGTCAACGAGATCCTGGGCTCGTTCAACGTGGACAAGCAGCACTCGGACTCGCACAAGGACGTGGCGTACCTCATGGCGGACATCTCGGGCGTCTCCGAGAACGACGTGCGCGAGATCTACGACCGCATCTCCAAGACCAACGCCAACATCCTCACGCGTCTGCTGTCGTAAACTAACGGCTGGCCTATGTTGCCTTGTACATAGTGTTGTTGAAATGCGCCGATCCATGGCTCCGAAGAGTACTTCCAAGGCGTTGACTGTGACGCTTTGTTTTCCGCCGAGGTCGAATGACTGCTCCTGAGCCGAAGAGGGCGAGCGAGGCAATTGCTCCCGTGTCGCAGCGTTGCGAGTGTTAGAGCATATATTAATACATTCTAGAAAATCGAGGCGGGGCGATCAAGGGTCCAAGTAGAGATGCCGCGCGGCCCTGGCAATTTAATGCGCATGCGGCGAGGCGCGCGGCTCGTGTGGACGTGGCCGCAGTGGGGTTGGCCTTATCGGCGCGCTGTGACCTCAGAGGTCGTCGCCGCGGAGCGAGACAGGGGCGGCTGAGGTCGAGCTCGGTTGAGCGCCTTCCGAGCGCCGGTGGCTGCTGCTGCTGCTGCTGCTGCTGCTCT